AAAATTTATATAAGATTAAGTGTATTTTACATCTTCAGATAACAAGTGAAGTAAGATATTAGGAGGCCTATGTGCCCAATATGAGGGGCATTGGCCATGAAGTGAGGATTGGGCAACCCAATCTACTACTTGGTTGCCTTCTGTAGGTACAAACATGAACCTAAAATTAGGATAGCCAATACATGATTGGCTAATGTTCATGATAAGAGATTTAGCATCCCATGGACAAGGTTTACTATTTTGCCGCAGGCATGAGCCTAAGACTTGATTATCAGATTCAAAAATGACATCCTAGAGTCCCCTGTCTATCACATATTTAACAGCTTTAAGAAGAGTAGTAGCCTTAGCCATAAGTGGAGATAAGGCCATACAAAACCAAGTCTTACCAAAGCAAAAATCACCATTAGAATTGTGGCCCACCATAGCCAAAGCTACTGACCCCAGGTTTGGTGAGAAGGAAGCATCTACATTCACTTTGAGGGTGCCAAGTGGAGGTCTGGACCAAGAGTAGAGGTTCTTTTTCGCAGCTATCCATGCCTTGGAGGGAGAAGCCAACAAATCCATGCTGTTGGGAGATGAGTACTCTTGGATCATACATGAAATGCGAGCAAGAACCTATTGGGGAGAAATTTAAGCATGTTCATAAATTTTTTCATTTCGTGCCTTCCACACTTGCCAGCAAATAATGGCACAATTGTTAACAAGAGAAAGACAACACATCTGCTTTGCACAAGACTTAATATAGCTCCACCATTTAACAAAACAGCCCATCCCCAGCTACTGAGGGTTAAAACCCAAGGCAGAACCAAACTAGATTGGTTCAACATGGGGGCAGTAAAATAGCAAATGCAGTAAAGATTCATCACATAAATGACACAACAGACATCACGCCTCTTGCACAATCCCCATTTTCACTAGATTATCTAGTGAAGGTAAAAAGTTAAGGATGGCTCTCCATAGAAACACTCTAACCTTAGGGGGCACTTTGAGTTTCCATAAGTGCTTCCATTCAACCAGGGAAAGGATCATGTTATCGCTATCCATACTAGGTTCATGAACAGTATTAAAAGCAAGGAGATAAGCACTTTTAACAGAAAACCTCCCATATTTGTCATGATGCCATACCAGAGAATCAGAACAAGCACTAGTAGAAATTTTAAGAATTTCTCGACATTCCTCACTACTGAAGCATACATTTAACTTAGTAATATCCCATTCCCCATAATCATCAAGCAACTCACAAACATGAGAAAAAGAAGAATAAGTGCCAAGGGATGAAGTAACCTCAAATTCGAGTAAGATAGGGATCCATTTATCTTGAAAGGTCTGAACATCTTAACCATTGCCAATGTTCCATCTTACTTTGAGTTGAACAATGTCCCTTCCTTTTAAAATGCTTGACCATGCCCAAGAAGGGTGACTTCCTTTCTTAGCATCAAAAAAAGAAGAGCCTGAAAAATATAAGCTTTTTAACACCCGGACCCATAGAGCGTTAGGATTTTGTATTATTCGCCATGCTTGTCGGGCCAACATAGCAAGATTAAAGCAGTGTAGGTCTTTAAAGGCCATACCTCCAGAATGCTTGCTTTTTGAGAGTTAGTTCTAGCTAACCCAACAAATTTTCCCTTCATCATTTTGTTGTCCCCACCAAAACTCGCTAATAAGTCAATTAATATCTCTACAAGTTCCTACAGGAAACAAAAAAACATTACATAGTGAAAGTAGGAATAGCCATGACAATAGCTTTAATTAAGATTTCATGGCCTGCTTGTGACAATAAGTTCTTTTTCTAGTGTGAGAGCTTATTTTGTATTTTATTGACTACATATTTTAAGCTATCTTTTTTGGACCTTCCCCAAGAAGTTGGCAAGCCGAGGTACTTAGAGACAACAAATTCAAATCGAATTCCAAGTCCATTACACATTGATTCCCTTACTCCAATAGGAGTATTGGAGCTAAAAATTGTAGCTAACTTGGGGAATTTGACTCTCTGGTCCGTAACATCCCCATAGATTTGCAAAATATTTTGTAAATGGCTCACCTCTTCCAATGTAGTCCAACAAAACACCAAGGAATCATCTGCAAAGAGGAGGTGACTAATTATAGGGCTCCTCCTTCGAATCTTATAACCAATGATCTTTTTTTCTACTATTGTTGCCATTAAAAGAAGAGATAATATATCAGCAATAAAAAGATATAAATGCAGGGATAGTAGATCTCTTGTCGGAGTCCTCTTTGGGGAGCAAAAAACGGAGTTTGATTGCCATTGATTTTTACCATGAATGACACCGTGGAGACACATTGCATTACCATATGGATCCATTTTTCACAAAACCCATGAGCTCTCAAAATGTTTTCCAAACAGTGCCAATCAACACTATCATAAGCTTTCCAAATATCTAATTTCAATTCCACAACCCTATGCTTACCGAATTTCTTCAACTTTAAGCCATGAAAGGCTTCATGTGCAATCAAAATATTGTCTTGAATAGCACGACCAGGAATAAAAGTAGACTGAAAAGGAGAGATGAGGTTATCAAGGTAACCTTTTAAATGATTTGCTAGTGTCTTAACAATAATCTTATAAGAAAAATTAAATAGAGAGATAGGGTGGAATTGCGAAATCACCTTAGAATTCTTGATTTTGGGAATAAGGATAATTTTGGTTTTGTTTATTTCCCATAACATGTAACCATGTTCAAAGAAATGTTGGATAGCTTTGCAAATATTTGAACTAACAATATCCCAATGTTGTTGGAAGAAGCATCTGGGAAAACCATCAATACCTGGAGCCTTAAAAGCACCCAATTGGAACACTACTAAACGAACTTCATCATCAGATATAGATCGACATAAATCATCATTTATTTTAGAGGTAATAGATGGTTGGATAAGCCCAGCAGTTTGCTCAAAATTACCAGCCTCCCCTGAAGCATAGGCCTATTGGAAATGAGAGAAAGCATGAACAAGAATTGAGTAAGTGCCCTCCACCCCTTTCTCGTGTTCATCCTTTAGTTGAAAAATAAAGTTGTTCTGTCTTCTTCTAGAGGCAATTGCGTAGAAAAATTTAGAGTTTTTATCACCAAATTGTATCCAACTCATACGAGCTCTTTGGAACCAATAAGCTTCTTCCTACATCCATAGGGAATTGATTTTGTCTACAAGAGAGTTTTGCCTCAACAAATTCCTTTTAGATTGTTCCTCTAATTGTAAGTCTTCAAGTTCTTATTGTAGGTGCTCCAACTCTCA